AGATAGTCTTTAGGTAGACTTAAGAATGCTCTAGTCTACAAGGGTCACAGTTTCTGACACCTGATTCATTAGATGTGTGGTAGAGTGGAAATTCCTAGTTAAATAATTAAACTTCAGTTTATTCTAGATCTGCCGTCTTCCTGATCAGCATTTTGTTTTTGCTTTTCACAGAAAGATATTGTTTTTAATTTTTAGACGTAACTCACTCCCTTAAGAATGATAAATTCATGGCTTTTTTCATCAAAGGATAGGACTGTTGAAGAAATTTCTTCCTTAAATGCGAGATTAAAACTAACCAATGTTTTCATTCTATCAAACATAGTAAGGGAGAGGGATGTTATTATTTGTAAAGTTCTTAATTGTCACATTTTATTCCAAGAATTATTTCAGCTTTGGAACTTAGATATGAAAATTGCACTTTGTTGCAATAAAAAAAAAATTGTCTATGTATAAATTGTTTTGTTTTTGTTAAAACGTCATTAGGACTTGGAATATTGAGAGGTATGGAAACTGCAGCAGAAATGTGGTCTTTACATGGCGTTTCTCATGGCACAGTTTCTGTTATCACTTGTCCTCCTAAACCAAAAGTCGTCTTGAAACATGACTTCCACTGGAGCTGTGTTGGCAAGAGATAGTCCGAAATAAAATATTGGAGTGTTGCTGTGTCCAAGATGACTGCATTGCTGTCATAATAAAAAACCTTGTTACCCGTTCCTCTCCCGAACAAAAAGTTCTATCATTGAGACAGGATTTCAACAAAAGAGTTGTGTATAGGTCACCAATTGTTATACTTTCATTAGACCCTGTGCCCCACTCAAAAAGCAGTCTTAAAAAATAACTACTGCTTCTTTTCCTTTATAAATGATTGCGATGGCGTCAGAAATTTTTTTAATGGGTTGGGTTTCATCCACAGATGGTACCAATTAAAACTGGAACCTGTGCCTCATTCCAAATGGCCACAATGACAGCCATTTGGAAAACATTGTATTGCTATGTATACATCTCTTCTAAAGAAAAATGTTATTGAAACCCGACTTTCAAGAGAAAAGGCATTTTGAAACAATATTTTAAATAATGATTTGGAAATGGATTTTTGCCGCCACATTCAAAACTCTGTTCCCCTGATTGAAAAATTGAATGAAACAGGAATATGGTCCGCAAGTAAATTTGAACCGTTGGCATTATCAGCAAACCTATCATCTTGAAATTAATGTTGTAAATGACATGTGTATGGTTCACAGATAAATTTTAACTTATGTCGCATTAGATAACGCCAATGCTGCTTTTTGGGAATAGAAGTGTCCAGACAGGGTTCCTTAAATTAGGATTTGTTCACGATCCAAAGAAAGATGGTCCTAATAAAATTTTATGCATTATTGTGGCATTAAAAGTGGCGATCATCTTGAAAATTTTGTTGTCGCTAATCCTCCTGAAGGGAGCCTTAAAGAGCCGTAATTGTACCACTTTCAAGATGACCGTCATGGTCCCTGTCCTTAAAATTTCTACTCATCCTTGACAGAAAGTTATCAAGGACAAAAAAGAAAGTACCGAAAGGTCAACAGAAGTATTAATTCAAACTCGATTCCGAGTACACCATGTCAAACTTAAGAAAAAAAAAACGATTTAAAAGGAAATTCGACAATCGTCATATAAATATTGGACAATCCCAAGTATTGTCCACCAGGTACACAAGGGAACAGTAAACGCGCCAAACTTTATATCGTACAAGGAAACGGAATATCTCCCAAGAAATCATTATGATGGCCACGAAACTCCCCAATGATATTCGAGCTGCCTCTGTCGAAAGACTGTTATGAGATTATCTTGTCAGTTGTCGACATCTTGCAAGAAAATTGTGATATTCAAAACAAGCGTTTCGATATCGAATCAATTGCTATATGTAAACATTTTGTTAGGGAAGCACGATTCATATTATCCAGAAATGGAAAATTCACAACAGGGAGATTGAAATATTCACGCTTATACATCTAGGTGGAACGCGGTCTTTCTTGGTTGAATTGTAGGAAAAGATCGAGGTAAGTGGCTGATGTAGAAGTGTCTGTCACGTTCTTGATTTATTAATATTATTATTACTACTACAGTCTTAACAGCCCGTCAACACAAGAGGTTATAAGGACCATCAAACGGTGAAACAAACCAGAGATCCAAAGAAGAAAAACACATCAAACAAACTAAAAAGTAAAAGACAAATGCTGAAATTCTTTAATAGTTATATTATCACAAAAGATTAAAATGGTAAGTCATAGTCTATAATACAGACCAACATCTTTCAGATAACCTAGAAATTTATAAATCTTTACAGTTTCAAAAGGGGTCTTTAGACTTGTAACGTTACGATATTAAATTCTCTCGCAGACAGAAGGTCAATGCAGTCCAATAACAAATTAAATCTTCGTTTTTCAACATGATAGGTTTCAAGGTGTGCAATTTATTATTGATATCTTGATTCTATTCCTCCTGCCACTGCTGAGCTATTAAACATTGTTTGATAAATGGTTTAGAATCAGTAAAATGAAGATTAAAAACAACAGGTGATAGCGATAAAGCTGAATTTGTGGCACGAACTGCTTTTTCATTGCCTGGTATTCCAATGTGCCCAGGAACCCAGCAAAGAGCAATACGAAAGTTAAAGGCAAGTTCATGATATAGTGTTAATGTATTGCGAATGATAATATTTTCAATATTTCTATAGCTAAGACTTTGTAGTGCAGAAAGAGAGTCTGAATAGATTAGAGCTCTCGTTACTTTGTTTGTTTAAATATATTCAAAGGCGAGATATATAGCTTGCGCTTCCGCCGAGAATACTGAGGCGTTGTTCGGTAGCCGGCATCCATAGGCTTAATCTTGTGAAACTTTTGCCACGGAAACCTTATCATTAACTTCTGAACCATCAGTGTATAAATGTAGAAATTTTTTATATTCGAACATCAATTTCGAAAAAGGATGAACGAAAGGTGCAGTTGTCAGTGTCTGATTTAACCATTTCATGAAGTGAAAAGTCAGCTTATGAAACAGTACTAGAGTAATTCGAGAGAGGCGGAAACGAGGTTATATTGCTCTGGTTTGATTTTCAGATCTTGCATACTCTACGGATTTTTTTTTGTATTCCTTGCTAACGATATCAAGACTGCACTAATCATAATTATATAAAAATATGTGTTTTCGTCTGCTGGCAAAGCCTTTAATAAGTTTTTTTCTGGTTTTGAAAAAGACGCGATCGATAACCAGGCAAACTCTACCGCCAAATTATGCTGCCTCTTCAAAGACGAAAAACTATATGCATATCATCCTTCGGTATAACGATCTTATGGTTCACCCTTTATAAGAATCGTGAACTTCAATGCTAATATCAATACACGTAACGAGGACCGTGTATTAACAGCATTGATTGTTGGCTCAGTAGATTGTTAAACCTAACAGTATCCAAGTTTTCCTGCGATTCTAAACCAGTATTACGGTCGTATTGTTATACTGTTCGCGTTTATACAAAACGAGAAATCAATGCAGTGTGGATTTTAAACAACTCAAAAGGTCATTGGATTAAATGTCTTTCTTTTAAGAATTTTTTCCCACTCTGTACACGACATGTTGCCGAATTCAGAGTTGTTGCTAGACTATAAATTGTCCATTTAGCGTGTGCCTGCATAACGCTGACGCTGCAATTTATGACGTTAGAACAGAGTGATAGTCTTTTCATATTCTCATTTCGTCTTTATGATAAAAGAGAAAAAGTTCATTCTAGAATTTAAGTTTAAAACCGCATTAGCAGTGTGTATCGTTCTTTTTCGATAATTTCACCAGATACTGCGATATATCTAAATCAATGCTTAAACTCTTGGCGACGTGTGAAACCTCACAGACAGATTTTCGGATTTCTTCCTTTTGTTTTGACGTATACAGGCTGACAACGCTAGAAGCCGTCTTGTTCCGTGCTTGGCGGTGAAATTGTCCCTCCTTGTTTACTATAGTACACAATAAGTCTTTGGGTTTTACCTGTACTCCAAGGAACTCTCCTATTCTTAACAATTCTGCAGAATTATTGCCTTTCAAAGATTCATACAAAACAACTATGCTGTTATGTTGAAATTTCTCCAACCAAAATACGTTTTTCCTCCTCCAGCGCCTTAGCCGGTCATCCACAAAGTCACTCCATTCTAAACAGGAAGACAAGCGTAAGCATAAAATAGAATATGGGGAACAGAACAATAAAAATTCATGAAATATCTGCCATGAAAGAAGATTGATAAGGAGAGTTATGATCCATTAAAATGATCTTGTTTAGAGCAGTAAGTAAAACTGCAAAGGATTGAAATGTCAGACAAGGAAACATTACAGGAAGCAATGCAGTATTTATTCTTTGATGATCACAAATGTAGATATGCGTTTACTGTAAAGTCACTTATTTTCGTTGATTTTGTGGTTACTATAAATCCACGAATTAGACTGTATAATTACAAAATCATAAACGAATAAAAAAATTACATGGATCGTAGTATCAGTAGATTTCGTGAGCAAGATTTGACCACGAAATAAAGTGCCAACGAAAATGCATAATGTTTTTGAAAACCGCGGAATGTTACTCACATGTAAATGTATGATTTTACAATATGTGTTTCAAATAAGGTTATTGTATATGATATATGCATAATTCTACAGCTGCATTTTGTTGAAATAATATCGATAAACATAGTGTAAAATCGGATGTTCCATATACGAAACATAAGTAATGTACTTCTAAAATAGCAAGACTAATATATAAATAAAACACTATTTCCTGATATATTAGTAGTATAATAGCTATATTGTACATAGAGAATACCCAATACCTATGGGTTAACTTTGGGACGTTGTGATTATATTTTCTCTTACCCTGGACAGGTAAATCCACCCTTTTTACCGCATTCGCGTAACCCTGTTGAAACGGTTCAGGTGGAATGGAATTATTCCATTCTACACGGACGCACTTGTACCGGATGTTTGACCTGATATATGTAAAGCTCTTAATGCACAAATCGGAATTAACTATCAAGCATAAATCATTTAACTAAAATTAACATATCATCCAAGTCAGTTTCGGACAGGTACGGTTGTACCCCTTCAAACTGCAGGTGCTAAATATTCCGTAGTCCAGCCAAGGTCCCGATATGTACATTGCGTTTTTATTGCTGATGCAACCGGTTAAACCGTTAAAGCTTCTTACTTGAAAACGCCCTACATCTTACCCTAGGGTTTAGACAATTTACTCGTGCTCATTGCACGACTTGAAAAAAAGTTATTTTGATAGCTATAGTTCACACCCAATACCCGTGTGCTGATATTGTATTGGGTTCTCTTACCGTGGCCAGGAAAAACCACGCTTTTTACCGGTATGAGATTAAATTGGAATGCGTGAAGTGTCTGAAGCACGGGCCTCGTCACTATTTATATGCCATTCCCGAGCTTTTGTTTACACACAAATATACTTCGTCTCACTCTCAGACAAGGAAAATATGTTAAGAGAAAAATTATTAATCACAGCCTTTAGGGTGTTATAAGATTATCCCTACATCCGGGGAAGATGATTAAGCTCATTTAATTAATAACCTTACCCCTCGGAGGGGAGAGGGAGTGAAAAAATTCTATAATTCTTTTAATCTAAACAGTAAAAGCTTTTCTCACCCTAGAATTGAGATTGGGGATTCTCCTTTCAGAACAATGATATGACGTCACACTAACAAGTCACTAACGTCACATCGTCAATTAAATTACGTCAACGATGCAAATTATCGGGATGACAAAAACACGTCTAACTTCCTAATAAGGTCAGCAGAATAAGAGAAAAATAATCATTCATCCCCCTTGATGAGAAAGGTCGATCTAAAACCTCGGGAAAAAAAATCTTTTTCCTGGGGTTGAAATCCACCTATCTCACCTCCAAGGGGATTAAAGATTCGATTAGTCCCAAAATATACTCAGGCCAATTATTATCCGAATTGGAAAAATATATAAAACTTGCCGTGAGACCTACATTGTACACTACCCACTTACCTAGTTGCAGTATAATGAGCAGAGATAAGAAGGGTAGATTAGAAGAAAAGGATGGTGACATTACAAAGACACATAATTCAGGGAATTTCATAGACACGACGGAAGATGATAACACAGTTATTAAGTAGTACTAACGACACCAAGATAAAGGTACTTTCCAGCAGGTATGGCAGACAACATGGCGTCAGGACTTATCATCATATATGCAGGACAGCAAGACAGATAAAGTAATGGGAGTCAAAACGAACCACACGACAAGTGTCTTCAACAGCAGAAACGACGGACAAGACAGTTGTACTTAGCAGCAGAACCGACGGACAACAAGACAGATGTGCTTAACAGCAGAAAGGACGGACAACAAGACAGATGTACCTAACAGCTGCAACGACGGATAAGACAGATGTACTTAACAGCAGAAACGACGGACAACAACACAGGCGTAATTAACACATGGCAGGCCAACAAGACAGACATACCTAATCGCAAATAGGAAAGACAAAAAGGCAGATTTACATGACTGCATGATATTAATGATATTAAATTGATGCAAATAACAGATGCGAATTGGGGTTAGCCAAGATGAGAAAGAATGGAGTATTAATAGACATCACAAATGACCTATTTAACAAAAACGTGTATCGAGCCAGGCAGAGAAACTTACTTCTAGTGTGAAATAAGGACGTATTCGCATGGTCTACATGCTTGCTTCTTGACTTCGTCTTATTAGAGGATATCAGATCCTTGACCCTTCGGTCTCCATTTTCTAGGCGTTGCCTTTTCGCTGAATTTCCCTTTGTAGCATATTCATAGTTGAAAAAGGATTTAATCGCATGCAACGGATTTCTTATAATGATTATTGCTTTGGTGAAAAGCTTCAGGGTTTGTTTGGTGGCTAAGTGAGTTTTGTACACTATACAATGTCTAGTCGAGTCGATGACAGGCACTAATTCTCCCGGAAACCCGTTCTCTGCGAGACCTTTATCCTGGTATACACTTCCTGTGTAGAAACCTGGAAAATGTGAAATTATCCCATGTCCAATCATTCAAAATATAAACAAAATAGTTATATAACAATCCTTACAGGATTCGTATTGTTTCCTTATTTGGTTTCAGAGTCCTTCTGCACAGGAACAGTAGTCTTAGGTAGCAGCAAACAGCTAATTTGCATTCATTCTGAACTAACTGGCCATGATTGAAGTATACAGGTTATGAAAAACGCACACTTACATGTATATATATATTCATAAATTACATAACAATTACATTATATTTAAAAAAAAAATAACTCCTTGCTAAAAATGGTTTTGTCATGTAAAGTGGACAATGTGGGGTTTCATAATTGTCAGAATTATATGTTTACATTATGGTTGGATTACTATTTGGGCAGTCTCGAATCTGTGTCTTCACACCAAAATCTAGCTTTACACTAAACGAAATTTTAGTGAAGGCGTTCCAAGTTTGAATTTGCTGTAATGTTAGAAGCTTGTTGCCATGACAGTGTTGTTGGTTTTTTAAACATGCGTTTAAAAAATGCAGTGTTAGGTTGGAATTAGTAGTAATTTTTGCATTTTCAGGCAATCACATCAAAATTTTGATTTACACAATTTTTATTTTTCTACTATTAACTTTAATTAAAACCTTTATAATTTGGTAATCTAATGAACAAAAATATTACCCAGGGCCACACCGAGAAACTTGGTACTGCTATCTTAACAAATGATATAATTAATACAATATACTTGTGATCAAGCAAAGTGAAAAAGGTATGTTACTGTCACAGTGCTTCAATTGAAATTATCCCATAAACATAGTATAATGCCGTTGAGCTGTATTATATTTCTTTGTTTTCTTATCTCGGCAATACGGCAGATGATTTATGCATACGGTTATCTAGTGTTGTTTCTCTTATCTATCGTTATTGTTATGTATTTAGAGACTGTCGGTCTTAGATAACTTAGAGGCACTTTCAGATTTACAAGCGAAGCTATGCCCACTACTTATCTGGCGGCACTTTGTATTATGGCAAAATGACATGAACAACCTTACTAACTGCCATATTTTTAATCAAGGAACTTTCCAAAGATCAAAAAGATTGCATCAGAGAAACAGAAATGCCACACAAAAGAAATTGTATAAGATAAATGTTTTAGAATATTTTACTTTAACCCTAAGATAGTAGTTCATATTAACCTCAGGTATCTAATCCAGTTCGTTAGCATAATAGGCAACAATAATGACATCATTGCAACGACAAATGTTCCCTGTCTATAATTCGTCGAGCTCCTCTCCATGATCACAATGACATGGAATACATGAAATGTTTGGATTTTATTTCAAGGTGCAATAAAGAAATATTGACCATGTGATGTCAACTATCAAATTTGATGAGGTATTTATATACAGAATGTTATAAATCATGTTGATATGTTAAAATACGAGAATGCATTCAATTTTAATATTCAATAAATACCTGTAAGCTCCTGTATCAGATGTCTCATCCAGGTGTTACCAGATCCAGGAAAGCTGATGAGTGCTGTTCGGTGTTTTGGTTTGTCGATAAGAAATGACAAGTTCCTTGGTTGACAAGTCTCAGCTTTTACTAGATCGTTCGATGCTGATAAACTGAAATAACGCGTTTGTTCTCCAGAATAATCATTTACAAAAGACGTTGCCAACCATTTGAAACTTGAAGACTTACTCTGGGAGTCATTCAAATGGTGAGGTTTCATGGAAAGATATATCACAGCTGATCGTTGTGAAGTAAAATACCACAGAACAAATAAAATAGTAGCACACCACAGGAAAAGCATACGACGTTTCCACAAGACGCTTGATGGACAAGGAATCATGCCTGGAGGCAGTTAAATGGCCTACCGCTTGTCAATATGCAAGGTATAAACAAACAAAGTGAAGTAGTAGCGTAGCCTCTAGAATCATTGAATACTGTTGTCAGGTTAAAGAGAAAGCATGAAATTAGTCACTTTGTGTTGAACGGAGAGGGAGATCTTTGCAATATCTGACAGAGTGCTGCCATGTTACTGAGAAACTATGCCTTGTCGATGCTTTACCATTGACAGGAACGTTCGGTTAAATTGAACCATCGTCACTGTAGTTGCCTTTCCAAGCAAAGTCTCGGGATATTATTTTATACGTGAAGGAAACGTCGGCGTTACTGTCCAAGCACCCAAATCAGTATACGTTGACGTCACTGTATATACTAAACCTCTTACGCCAGCGTCACTCCTCAACCAGAAATCGACGTAAACGCTTAATATTTGTGATAAGACATCTGAAATTGACGTCATCGTATAGTTACATCTAGAAATCTTGCACCAGAATCAGTGTTCAAGCAATTAGTCTCCGTCTCCGTATTTACAGTCAGGAGTCTTACGTAGACGGACTCCACTGTCTTCTGCAGCTAGGTATCAGATATCACCAACAATGTCCATACTGTAAACAAACTTTCAGATACGTCAATACATAGTGAGTCCGTTCTTTGTTGAAGGCCAGGCTTTATGATCATATCTACCTTATCATTACTGATAATATGAAAGCCATTGATAAAGCGTGAATCTTTTGTGATGGTGACGGCCATATTGCCATTGATGACATTAGACTCTGGTTATTATTAGACATTTGGTTAGATGATAGAGCAACAGCTTGACTGTTCCTTATTTACGTAAATCGACGGTTATAAACCGATTAACTGAAAGAGCAGAAATCGAGCAGATTTTTTTATTCATTTACTATTTGTGTTATCTTTGAATTCCGTAACAACGTTGGCGGTCATGTTCCCTGTCTATAATTCGTCGAGCTCTTCTCCATGATCACAATGACATGGAATACATGAAATGTTTGGATTTTATTTCAAGGTGCAATAAAAAAATATTGACATCTACCATGTAATATCAACTATCAAATTTGATGAGGTATTTCTATACAGAATGTTATAAATCATGTTGATATGTTAAAATACGAGAATGCATTCATTTCTAATATTCAATATTTACCTGTAAGCTCTAAATCGACGTATATGCTTAATATTTGTGATAAGACATTTGTAATTGACGTCATCTTAGAGTTACATTTAGAAATCTTACACCAGAATCAGAGTTCACGCTATTAGTCTCTGTCTCCGTATTTGCAGTCAGGAGTCTAACGTAGATGGACTCACTGTCTTCTGTAGCTAAGGATAGGGCATCACCAACAATGTCCATACTGTAAACAAACTTTCAGATACGTCAATACATAGTGAGTCCGTTCTTTGTTGAAGGCTAGGCCTTATGATCATATCTACCTTATCATTACTGATAATATGAAAGCCATTGATAAAGCGTGAATCTTTTGTAAAATTAGATAGGTCAAGATACGCTCTGTCGAGTATGATTAACAAGAGGCCAAGAGGGCCTGTATCGTTCACCTGGATCTTTATGACCACCAGTACTATATATGTGTATATGTTCCACAGTAGATGCTTAAAGTAATATGACAAATTACTCCATATGGGTTCTGTCCCTTAGTAGTCTGCCCCCTCATTTGTGCAATGTTGAATTGAGACTTTCTTATGATGTTTCCGGTTAAATATAATTGATAGCTTTCTTTTAAATTAAGGAAACAAGATGGTCAAACAATATAGCAGAAAAACCCTTAGTTATAGCTGGACGGATGACCGAGGCCAGCAGAAGCTTACTTACCCTTTAGATCATCGTTTACAAACACAGATACAACATATTTGAGACTTGCATAGGTCAACAATACAAAGGAACATAATCCTAACTCAAAACCAATAAAACGTTTCATGCATATCATTAGTGATGTCACCATGGTCAGTTAAGCCCCGGTTACTGGAGGTATACTGATAGCTGTTTACTGTAGGCCTATAAACACTGCATAGCAAATGGGATCAACTTAGAACTATATATTTATGCTGTAATTATGAAGAATCTTCATTCAAAATGAAGCTCTTGCAATTCTCTTTCCGATCATGTTTTCTGTATTTTAATGTTGTGAATAGAACATAAGTAATTGGCTAACATGTAGTTTTTCACATTACTTAGCTCAATCCTCTCAGACCTCCAGGGGACTTGGCCTAATCTATTTTTTGGGAACAGTGTGACGCCACTGTGAAACGTCTTTATAATTTTGTTAAAATCTTGCCAAGAAAACTCCCAGCCAAATATGTCCCATTCATTAAGTCAGGAAGGTTCTACATATTTGTATATAAGCCTTTACAGGCCAAATATACTCAACAAAACAAGAAAGGTTAACATGTTTCCTTGGCGAATACCTGTAAATAAGTGAAAACAAAACGACGTTTGTGCAATATTAGAAAATGGTACTGTTTTACATTACAAAATCCAATGGGGTTGCCAAAATCATTCAAGCGTGAAAGTCTGTATTAGCGAAAGAGCTGCAGAAGGTTTTCTGCGACGAACTTGTATCTTCGCTTGAATTTCATAAACATTCAAACTGACAACTGTTCCTTAGATCCTTTATCATTATGCCCCGGCTGTCACAAGTACAGAGAGAAAGGGCTGTAGGCATGAGCCAGGCTGGGGAGTCTCGCCGTCGAGTTGCACGGCATTTTGGTTGCAGTGTTACACTGGACCAAATTTGTTGCGACGTCACCGTAATAATCGGCGTAACTGGACCCGTGTTCACCGTCGTTGGGCCTTACGACAATGGAACAATGTTCTGTTTTCAGACGGTGATGGAAGGCGCAGAGAGTGGAGGCGACGAGGGGAGCGTTTTGCGAACTGCTGCGTCGCAGAACGGGACCGCTTTGGCGGCGGAAGTGTAATGGTTTGGGGTGGTATTTGTGGGGGGACTCGTACAAGGCTTGTTGTGTTGAATGGCAATTTAACCGGCATTCGATATCGGGACGAAATTTTACGACCAGTGGTTCTGCCATTCTTAAGACGCCATGGCGTTGGCGCCATTTTTCAACAGAATAACGCACCAGCGCACACCAGTCGCGTCAGCAGAGCTTTCTTGCAGCAGAGTAACGTACAGGTGTTAAATTCGCCATCTAAATCACCTGATTTGTCACCGATTGAGCATGTCTGGGACGTTCTTGGGCGACGCATGAGAGAACGTCAAAATCAGCCGTTAAACTTGCAGGAGCTGGCCCAAGCCTTGATTGCTGAATGGAACAACATCTCTCCTCGAATTATCCGCCGGCTTACGAGTTCCATGCGACGACGCTGCATTTCTGTTTACTTCGCAAACGGTGGCCATACCCGTTACTAATGGTGTTACCTTTGAAATTGACCCCAACGTCATTTACAGTCGAATAAAATCAACTGAACGCAAAGTTTTATAATAAACCATGACTGCAGTTTTATCAGAATTGATCACTTACTTTATTCGTACATGATTGGTAAGGATTTATGAAGGGGTTAATTAATTAATCACAGAATAAAGTAGTGTTACCTTTCTTTTTTTTGTTTAGTATATGACGGCTTTTTGGTTAATCAGAAGAAGTTGTTTAACAATTTTACCAAATTTAACCCCAATGACCTTAAATATCATTATGGGTCAAGCTATTTTTTCACACACTATATGAACCTTTTGGCCAAATATTATGATCCTAGACCTTTAGGTTAATCAGAAGTTGTTCAAAGGTTTAACACATTTGATTGTTGTGACCAAGGTAATTTCTGAACTCAAATGTTACCGGGCACTATTGAGAACCTATTTTAGAATAATATCACTATCCTAGATGTTTTCGATAATCAGAAAATGTTTAACACATTTGACCCATGTGACCTTGAGTATGGGTCAAGGTAATTTCTTTTTGCAAACATTCTTCGACTTCATAAAAGGAACATACTGGCCAAATATAATTATTCTAAGCTTTTCGATATTTTAGAAGAAATTGTTTAAACGTTTTAACACATTTGACCCCTGGGACCTTGAAGATTGTCACAATCATTTCTTTTAGCAAACTTTGTGACCTTGAATATGGGTTAAGGTTATTTTTTTCGCAAACTTTGTTGTGCTTCATCAAAGGAACCTACCAGCCAAATATGATAACTCTACGCCTTTCGGTATCTCAGAAGAATTTGTTTAAATAAAAAGTTGACGGACGCAGGACGGACGACGGACGCCGCGCTATGGGCAAGGTGAGCTAATAAATGGTTTTTGAAAGCTTGTTCAAAATATGAATTTCAAATCGATTTCGGAAAAAATAATCAATGGTAGGACGTTCAATTTGCATAAGAATAATATGCGTGACCCTATGATTTATTACAATTATAAATTATTATATACAATACAAGTTAAATCGAAAGGTACTACATTGCTCTCTTTAAACTCATCAATTCAATATCTAAACAAGAGGCCTAGCGGCCTTGTCGATTACTTGAGATAAGCTATATTGAATAAAAACGTTAAAGGATAGTTAGCAAGTGTCATGAGACAGAAATTGTTACGTTGAATATATTAAGCCAGTGTCAATACATGCATACCATCAAAAATGTCATCCTATACTAATAATTCTTATAAAGTCATTTCCAGTGGGAATAACCAACGTTATGCTAAATAATGCAATTTTCTATGAAATGACAGTAAAGTCTAAAAAACATATTCCTCCTCAGGAAGATATGTGAGACTTATTTCGGTAATTAAAGCATTTTAAGATGCTTAAGAGCATTAAGAGCATTTGATGATACCATTTCTATGTCTTGAGGAGAGGAGTTTTGAAATTAGAGTCAATTTGATTCCCATT